ACAAAGTGGTCCTTCATTTATATCCTCTTTTATTGCTTACTTTTGTCAGAGATGGGTATGCCATTGCCATTCATACATTGTAGGTGCATGAATTCAACAAAGTGATCCAATATAGTCCTGTAGTCCATAATAGTAGTGGGTTATCCACAGGACTGGCAATGTCGGAAGTTGTTGACTTGAGCCTTTTACAGCTCAGCATATGAATGTGGCTTTACTTTCTATGCAGTCCTCAAACTTAATTTGTTCTGCAATTTTGGAAATGGTGACCATGTTTGTGTTTGTGTCAGAAGTAGAAGGCATCAAGCCTTGGTTATATTTTTCACCTGATACAGTTTGCAAACAAAACAAAATTTTCCCCAACAGTTCTGTTTGTGAACCAAAGCATTTATGAACTGAAGCACCACTGTAGAAGGAACTAGACCCAGGCCCAAGCCCTCTGCCTCTGTACTACCCAGGACCCTATTTTTGCCATCGTGACTAAGTGTGGACCTGGATATGTTTTGATTTTCTATCCACAACTGATCCCAGCAGCCATTTCGGCAGGACATGGTGATATCCCTCAACTGGCACAGAGACCTTGAAAAGTAAGATTATTCAGATAAGAAAATCGCTTTCCTAAAACTCCTTCTCACAGCTCAGACCCTGAGAGTCTACACAACACCCTTATCCTTTTTCTATGTTCTCTCTACAGGAATGTGGAGTTAGATGTCTGTTCTAGGAAGGCATTCTTTGTTCAGTGACCTGCATACATGGCCCAGAAGAGACAATTCCTTGAGGACATGGATAATTTGCTAGTACAAGTCATCAATCAAAATAGAAGCTACCTATTAGAGAAGCAGTAACTTAAATGTCAGCTATTTGTACATACTGTACAACACATATGTAAGTGGAAGGCATCAAACTAAGCACATTATAAATAAGTGACATTTTAAGTTAGACTATAATGTGGATTAAAGTGCCTGTAAGCAGGTGCAGGGGCTGGGGGTTCGATCCCTGCGCCTGCTGTGCTGGCCCTGCCCCAGGGTGCGCTGATACAGCGATTGAGACTGAGCACGGTGGCAGGCGCCTGTAATCCCAGCACTTGGGAGGCTGTAAACAGGCGGATCACTACGGGTCCCATCTAGTAGTGAGACCCTGAACACCCTGTATACCCTTACCTAAAATCAAAAATAAATAAATAAATAGAGTTAGACTAATAAAAAAAACCTTTATAAAAGTCCTGACCCCCAAAAGTTTGAAAGCTAATGGGGGACATAGTAAACCTAAAAGTGGCAGCGATGACAACCCAGTTAGAATACATTGACAGTGGGTAGAGGTTTCAAGAGGGTGCTGTAGGAATTAGCGAATGGGACAAAGGTTCCTTGGGAAGTAAGGAAAACAACTCAAGGAAAGAGAAGAGGCAGGGGCTGAGCAGTGAAAGACGAGTAGAATTCAGCAGCTTCTTCTACTGGAAACAGAAGAAATGGCACCGTCAGTGAGATCTGGAGCTTCTGGGGGGCCACTTTCCTCCTGCGGGGTAGAGGATCCCACCCACCAGCCAGGTACCAGCACACTGTCACCGTTTCTTCTCCCTGAGCCATACTTCCAACTGTTCCATGAGATTCCCTGATAGGCAGAATCACTCTTTCCCCCATAGGAAATATACCCAAAATGCCGAAGCAAGAGATTTGTGCCCTGATTTGAGCACCTGCCAATCCAAGCCCAGAAGAGCATCCGGTTGGCCAGGCACCTCCCCACACACACACCAGGAAGCTGAGCGGCCTATAAAGCTGAACTCCAGCCAGCCCTTAGTGGAAGCCCTCCTACCATGGGCCGCTGCACCCTCCTCCTCTGGCTGCTGTTCTTCCAGGCCATTGTTCTACCTGTGGCAGGTAGGGCAGGTAGGGCAGCTAGCGCCCCAGGGCTACTTTGCTCAACCCTTGCTACGAGGGGAAGTTCTGGAAAAGGGAGGTTTCACTCTGTTTAATGTAATCCAATCACTGAGGAGATGTTGCCGTGGTGAACACTGTAAATCATTCATCATTACTATCAGTTTTAACAAGGCCGGGCCAAATATTTTCTGCAAGATTTGTTTTCTGTGAATGAAGGATTAGCTTTGCTCCTGTAAAACATGGCTCTATTTGTAGGAATCTGGAGAGAAATGGATAAAGAAGGAATGTAGGATAATCCAATAAGGTGTTTTAATGTGTTCTTTGATTTATACATTAATATTTTGATATTTAGCACAATGGATATTAAATTACAGTCATTGCTTCTTTGCTGTTACTAAATGAAGTTGGAATATGTGCAGTAAAAATATATTTTATCTTGAAATACTGAACTTTATAAAATATCTGAACTTAGTTTATGAAACCTTCTAATCTGAAAATAGGACTTTTCTATAATAACCAAATTAATCAATTCTATATTCTTGATTTTAATGTGTATTTCACATCTAATCTTCTTAAGAAAATGTTAAGTTAACTTGGAATCAAATTAACTTAAAACACCTATCTCATTTCAATTATCTTTAATTGTTACTTTCATGGCTTTCGGGGAAAATACAAAGTCCTCTACTACATAGACTTTGGACTTGTATCGACAAATGAAAATTTGTTAGCACTATTGACCAGCAAATAGCTTGAATATGCTTCTTACTAACTATAAGGAAAATACATAACTCACCAGCCATACAAGAGTGTGAAGTTTACTCTGACTCTTTTTTATTCTGCTAGTAATTGTACGGATATGCTTGCATCTAATATTCAAATATATTTATCAAGACATACTAGAGTTTAAGAAGGGGTTCAGTGATGTCTTGAATTCTTTATTTCTGGGCCTTTTTACTCATCTGTATGTCCAAAGAGGTTTAAACCTAGGAATATAAAACTTAGGGCCAGAAAGGACTGGTTTATTGCATTCCTAATCAGGTGCTTTCTGGACTCTGGCCTCTCCATATAAGACCTCTCCATATAAGAAGAGATTCCTTCTGAGTCTCCATGCTGAACACTTTCATGTAAGAAGGGTATAATGCATTGAAGTTTACGGATTTAATGAAATCATGTTGGTAAAGTACTTGAAAGAGTGTTTCAGACATAGAAAATACTCAGGCAATATTAGTTGATATTGTAGATGTTACAAATTACAAAATATGTATCTTTGGACTATTTGTACTTTTTTTTTTTTTTTTTTTTTTTTTTTTTTGGTGGAACCAGGGATTGAACTCAGGCCCTTATGCTTGCTGAGGAAGCGCTTATTCTACTGAGCCATCTCCCCGGCCCCAAAATATGTATCTTAAACTGAGAGAAAAATATAATTCCCCAATTCAGAATATAACATTTTACCATGATGTCTCCAGTCCCCTACAAAACCAAAATATTTTGCCCTTCATTATTTCAGTAGTAACTTTGAAGCAATAGATTCAACTTAGAAATGTGTCAGGGAAGGAAGTTTTTCTCACAGTATATCTATACTACTCAGGTAAGAACTCTGGGAATTTATGAAGTATTTGCCACATGTGCCTGGACAGTGATGTGACTTTCTGAAGTATATTAACTCTTGGAAATTTCTGAGAGAGTTCAAAGTTCAAATTCGTCATGTTTGTTACATTGTGGTGAAGATGATGCTGAGTTGTATGATGCTCAGAGTGGTGAATGGCTGGTGTTGGAGATGTCGTCATAGGAACAGTTATAAGTAACACTTGTTGTGGTCCAGAAGGCATCTCAGTGAGCCCTGCCTTGTACCCACAATCTGCTGCTACTCTTAGAAAGTGGACATGGCCTATAACTTGATCTGTCTGGGATCAAGTGCTCAAAGGGTTGAGGATAGATGGAAGGGCAGGCAAGTCTAGCATGAGCTTAGTGAATTGGGGGCGCTAGGATACAAGCTGCTCTCCAATCCAGCAGTTCCCCTAAGACTACACCTTGATAGCCACACGAGAGTGTGTTGGGGTCACAGAGCTGCTTCCTTGGCCCCACTCCACCTCTCATCTCATTGAAACATCAAATCCCACTGAAAGAACCACCCCAAATGAAGGCAGTTGCCACATGGAACAGGGCACTCTGACAATGCAGTTACAATATGAACTCGCCTCTTCCTTGCCTTGTTTTGCTTTCCTTGGAACTTGTCAGCTTTCTGCCAAATGCCATTGTCCTCAGCCCAGTTCCTTGTGCAAAAGAAGGTACTATGTAAACAACTGGGGTAAATGAATGGAAAATGGTGAGCTAGCATCTCACACTCCTGACTCGGCTCATGGGGCCCTTCCGAAACAAAAATAGGAGCTTCTGCAAGTCTAAGGATACTTGGGAGGCTCAGCAGGTCTTGCTGATGTCACTCGCAAGGCTCAGGTTATGAGTATCTTCTCCTGGCTCCTGGCTGCTTCTTGTATCTTTGCCCCCTTTGAAAATCTTTGGTCTATGCTCTCATCCTATCTCTGCCCCCAAAATGTGAGTGTCACCTTCCAGGTAATGGATGAGGTTGCCCTTGAGCTTCCAGGAGCCAGAATTAGTGACATGATGTGACCTAGAAAGCTTTATCAGGCCCCTCATGCTGACTGCACAAGAACCTCTGGACGATGGGGCCAGTGTGGCCTGCCAAGAACAACCCAGAGGGACATGTTGCAGTACCTTAGCGGTCACTTGAAACTGGAAGAGATTTAGAGAACTTGTAGGCTATTAGAACTCAGTTTATATTAGGACAATTTACACGAAGTGTGAGGACAAAGAGCAGCTTGCCAGCTGACCACTGGAGAAAGAAAGAAGGGTAGCATGGGAGAGTGACATTCTCCACGGCAGCACTTGTCCCATCAGGGACACCGTGAAATCGTCTCTACGAACTCCTTTCTGATCAAGTGATGATCTGCTCGGCCCCGCCTCACACACTCTGCCTGCCTCCGCCTTCCCCACCTACCGCCTGCCAGTCCTGCTGCCACTGGAGTGAGATGAGATTCGCAAGTGTGCACAGCTGCCCTGCCATCCCATATAGCTACGGGCAAGTGCAGCCCAGCTCTGCTGACAGCACTGGGGGCTGCTGAGTACACACACTCACACTCACACATAACTGTATGCAGGTCTTGTTACACATTCATTCACACACTCACTCACCACACACAACCAACTTGTTTCATCCACTCTCTTCTCGCCCCCAAGAAGCCCCGCCAACCCTATCCCCTGCCCTCAGTGCCACCCCCTTACTAAGCCATCAGTTGGTTCCCAGCTTAGTATTAAATCTTCCCTCATCCTTGACTGTGTATCATACACACACAAAGAGTACTCCCCAAATGCTCCCAGCAAAGTAGACAAGATGCACCTCATTTCCTAGGCTGCTCTGGTTTTCTGTGGAGGAGAGGCTGGGAGAAATGGGCGCCTCCTGCTGTGTGTACACTGAGTCCTCTACAAGCTCAGAAGATATTAATGTTCTGGACCAGAGACCCACAGCTGTGATAGCTCAGCAGTAGAGCACACACTTAGCATCTGGGTGTCCCTGGGTTCAACCCCGGGACAACACTAAAGAAACAAAGAAAGAACAAACAGCAGGAATCAGGTTTCATGGTCCATGCTGCATCCCCTCTGGAAACTCCCTTTTCTCCCAGCCGGCTTCTGGCCCAGGGTCCTGGTGCCACAGTCCACTCTCCACTTTCTAAGCCTGTGCACTCTGCTTCACCCCATTGCTCCTTTTGAGGGAGAATGTCCGCGAGCCTTTGGTTCATAACCCAGAGGGCCCCGGGGGGCAGTTCCTGAGCCCAGAACCTCGCTCCTTCTTAGCCCTGTGGCATAGCCTTCTTCACTCCTCCTGGATCTCTGGCCAGGCGCTGGCTGGCCCATCATTTCCCTTCTCACTCAAAATCTGGCCCTCTAGTCTATGCACCTTCTCAGGGATCTAATTTGCATCCTGATGAGCAATTGCTAAAATCCCATGATCCTCTAGCTAGGTGCGGTGGCACACACCTATAATCCCAGCTCTAGTGAGGCTGAGACTGAAGGAATGACAAAGTCAAGGTCATTTTGGACTACCCAGCAAGAGCTTTTCTCTGAAAACAAACCAAAAATAAATAAATAAATAAATAAATAAATGAACATAAATAAAATAAAACATCATATGACCCCCCAGATAAAGTCTCCATCCTGTATGAGTTTCTGGCCTCCAGGGTCATGTTTCTTGTTCCATAACTGAACTTTGGAACCCTGTGCTGATGCCTTCTGTCCTTTATCTTCCTTTCCTTCTGAAGAGTGGGCCAGACCCATTACTGCTGCCTCCCAACGTCCTTCACACCCTTCCTCAGTCTTCTCTCATGGCTACCAGCTGGCTCAGGCCCTGTTCTTTCTTTTCCTCTCTCACCTCTAGCCCCTCACCTTGGAGTCCATCCTACACATCCAGTAGGGTCTATTATCCTAATAGCTGCTTTCCAAAAACATGATTATCTCATTCTTTTCTTCAGAAACTTCAACAGCTTCCCCTGTTATCTACAAAATTAAGTCCAAGACCTGGCCTGTCATTCAAAGTCCTTCAAAATCTGTCACAACCTACCTCCTGGCTTTATCTCAATACTATATTTCATTTTCCTATGGACCATCCATAGCCTTAGGAAACATATTTGAAGAAAATGACTTTCATTTGGGGAGCTGTTTTTGCTTGTCTTCTATTTGAGACAGGGTCTTGCTATGTTGTCCAAGCTGGCTATGAGCTGAGACCAAGCAACCCTGCCTCAGTCTCAGAGTAGCTAAGCCACGGAGGCCACCATGTTTGGTGGTATAACTTTGAAATCTTATAGCATGGTCCTCTTCTCCTCCTTCTTCCTCACCTCCACACAAACACCCTATCTGGGACTCCATGTGTGGCACTGAGCACAAGGTAAGTGAAGTCTGTTTTATGGGAGTGAACAACCACATTTTTGTAGTTGTCTTGAGTGTCAGCATCAATCTCCCGCACTCTTGCTGGGGCAGCTCCTCCTGGGCCTTTGGCCACTTAACTCATGAACTGTCTCAGGCAGCCACTGATGTCTGTGGTGGTGGCACTCCTGAAGCCTAAGTGTCGGACTTTGCTGTGTGCAGCAAGTTTAGCAAAGAGGCTTTTGAATTTCATTTAAAATAATTTACACTATGATATCTTGAGTGGCTTGCACTTGAACCTGACATTGCTGCAGAAGAAGGGCAAGCTTGGCATGGGCTTTGCCACCTCAAGGCACCTGCAAGTGTGATTCAGGACAAACAGCAAAACAGGTGCTTGGCCAAGTTGCTGTGGCCCTCACAGAGGCTTCCATGCACAGTACCTCAATGTAGCGGAGAACATCGCTGAAACGGCTTTCTCTCTTCTCCTCTGTCTCCACTGCCTATGCCTTAATTTACCTCCTTCAGGTGTCCTGCCCAGGCAGTTGCAGCAACCTCATGACAGCGTTTTTCATTTGTTTATTTTTGGTGGTACTAGGGATGGAACTCAAGACATTGTGCTTGCAGCAAGCACTTATTCCACTGAGTTATCTCCCCAGCATGACAGCCTTTTCTGTCTCTAGTCTATCCCCTCTCAGTCCATCCTCCAGTCAACTTCCATGAGCGTTGCCCTTATAAGCCTCAGCCGAGCCTTGCATGGCTCTTTGTTCAGTGAAGACTATGCTTGTGCAGACACATATGGCCTTCATGCTCTGTCCTTGTTGGCCACCCACTCTTGCTATGCTGTGACCTCCCCGGGCTCCTACTGCGCACCAGTCTCACTGCATATCATTTTTCCAATATGGCTGTGGCTTCATGCTCCAGTACTTCTACGAGGAACATGTTCTGGCAGCAACCTATCCTTCCTGCTAGCCAGGGATTGTCTTGCCTTATACTTAAGGATTCAATGTAAGAGCCATCTGCCATGGAAAGCCTTTCTCCTGGCCTTCCTGTTCCTTCTGCACATCTGTGCTATAGCATCTACTACAGTACAGAGCAGTGTCCATTACCACCAGCTCCAGGCTGGGAGCACCTGAGAAGCAGGAGGGGTATCTCACTCCTCTTTTGACCCTACATTACACCTGCCTGAGATAATGATATTCAGTAAATATTCTTTGGATTGAACTGCATCTTTAGACTATAAAACAAGACTCTCAAGGGAGTAGGAAATGGTTCTAGGACAGGGACAAAAGAAGCAGCCCAACAGTAGAGACAGTCCATAGACAGCTCTATAGACGAATGTTGGTCCTTTTGGTTGTGTTTAGTTGCTCTTCGTGTTCACTGGAGGCTAACATGGATATTTAGAAAGAGCTCGCTGACAGGTGCACATGTGTGAATGTGGTGGGCTCGTCTAGACTCTAGGAGGAGTTTCCAAGTCAGGGCCACCACTGCCCTTCAACAGCTCATCCACCTGCTGCTGTCACTCTGGGGCAAATTCTCTCCACACTCTTTTGAAATGCTACTCTCCCCTTTATTCATATGCATGAGTCATTTGTTCTCTTGCCTAATGGCACACCTATTTAACATCTCTTTCTGATGCTATGTATCTGTGGGGTTTAAAGTTTGCAGATGCTCCAGTCTAGTAGAACAGGCTCTAGAAGCCAGTGGCCAGCATATTCTAGATGGCAACGATGGCTCCTTCAATTTCACTCCAGACAAGATCTCCTGATGTATTTCTCTCTATGCTTTCTCTTGTATCCCATATCCTATCCGCTAGGTCATCTTGGCTATACTGGAATCCAGCCATGTGGTCCCAGCCAACATTGTCCCTCCCTGCACGATTCTTTGTCTCAAAGCAAATGTCAAAGGGCTTCTCTGACCTATTGGCATCCTTGCCAATTTGTGTTCCTTTTCTTGCTTTCTCTGTTCGAGCTGCCCAGCCTTCTGTACCTTCCTACAATAAGCTGGCAGGCTTGCGAGTCTTCTCCTGGTTGTACAATCTGCCTGGGATAGTTTTCTCCAAATACCACCAGGTCTAATTGTTTTTTATCTCCTTCAAGAGTTACTCAAGGGCTGGAGAGATGGCTCAGTGGTCTAAAGCACCTACTTAGAACAAGCTTAGCAAAGCATCAGGGACCGCGGTTCAATCCCCCAGCACCACATGCCAGCCAGCCCCGCCCCCTGGTGGGCTGAGCTCGCCACACACACACACCCCTCTCTCTCTCTCTCTCTCTCTCTCTCTCTCTCTCTCTCTCTCTCTCTCTCAAATAAATAAAAAAATAAAAAAAAGAGTTACTCAAATTACACTTTCTTAAAGAAGTCTATTGTTATCACTCTTGAGCACCCATTTTTATTTCTTAGCATTTATCAGTTTTTAATATACTACACAATTTGCTTATCTGATCCAGTTTTGTTTGCAGATTGTCTCTCTCCTCCACAATATAAACCCTACAAGAGGTGGGCTCCGTATCTGATTTGCCTAGTAAAAATTTCATGAACCTAAAATAGTCCTTGGTTCACACTTGGTTCTCCTGATGCTAGCCAAATGAATGAATTTAAGTGGCTCAGTTAATGTCAGGTTTCTCCCTTTTCTTCTTTTGAATGTACAAAGTGGAGAAATTTTAGAGAGAAGCATCGAATATATTAGCACTGCAATGTTGAACTATTTCTTTACTTAGTCTTAATTGGAAGAGAGCTGGATGTTTTTCTCCCAAATGCACATTTGTCTCAAAATCTTGCCATTAATTTCTTTTTTAATTTTAATTTTATTTTTTTCTTGCCACTAATTTCTACTTTAATTCTTTTCCATGTTTTGGATTCATGAGTAGCTACATCACAGAGTTTTGTGTGCATAAAAGTTACCTGGGGAACTGGTTCCAAATAAGAACCATATCCTCATAGATCAGTTGGTCTGAAGTAAGGCCTAGGAATCTATGTTTTACCTGTACTGGAACATCCTATAACTCAGTTGTGTCCCAAATTTTCAGATCAAGGAGATTATGAGGCCACAGAGGAAAGTGATCGATGATGTAGAGTGTGCCTAAGGAGAGTCAGATGGAGAGAAAACATTCTCTCAGGTTTTCACAGAGAGCACACTGGCCAAGCAATGGCCATGACTCATCCACATGGCTGACACTCACAAAGGATCTACAAACTGCAGTAAAGGGTTTCGGGGTAAATCCTGAGGGGACTTGACTGACCTTGGCAAATACAAAAGTTACTTCTCTTGTTATAGGGTAAAGTTCAAGCCGTTTTGAAATAACCCTGTATAAGGCTAATACCAGGTTGGAATTTCTTAGTGGGATATGGCAATGTGAGAACAGCAAACTCTTTAACAAGTGCAGGACATTAAAGAATTTTTATCATTTCTAACAGGCTCAAGTTATAGCCCTTTTTCTTTTTCTTTTTCATAGGATATGAACATGGAGCTTTGGGAGCTTTTGGTAAGAGTCACACTTTGGTTTGCCATTAACAGAACACCCCAAAATGCTCTTACTATGCTGATTGTGTTTACCAGTACAACCCAGGAGGTAAGGAGGGAGAAGACAAACAATTTAATCAAAAAGACTCAGAAAGGACAGAAAAGAAAAGGGAAGCTCCCTTGTCTTTAGCTGTGATGGAAACATTTCCTCCCAATCTTTTGTTCTTTTGGTCAAAATACATTTTAGAAAATGAGATGAGGCTATGGATATGGTATAGCAAATGATCACCAAGTGATATAATTGTGCTCAAATTGGATTAAAGACAATCCTAACTTCAGAAACCTAAATAATGCGTTTCAGGCTGGCACCAGGACACTATGTCCCTCCAGCCCCATTCAGCAAGTTTAGAGATTGTGGACAAAAGCATGTCCTTCTTTATTAACCTGAGTCCTCCACTGTCCTCCTTCCTTGAAGTCCCCTTGGGAGTGCCACAGGAGTGAGCACTCTCAGGACTTGGCTCTTGGCTTTCTGGCAGATGAACTATTTGCACAAATATTTACAAGAGCAATGTGTATTAGATGACCCAAATACCTAATCAATTCCCTAATTTCTACTACGCAGAACCTACTGAGTATAAACCCCCAAAGCATGCTGTTAGTTCAATGTCTCTTCCCCCATACACATGCTGGTGCTTGCCCAGTAAACTTAGGTGGACAGTTTCGCATGGCAATGATACACTACATTACTTGTTTCTGTTTGTTCTCTGTCACTAAAACCTTAACTCCATTTCCTGGTGGTGAATCAAAGTTGGTTTTTAACTCCTGTAATGTGGCTTGGTGGGCTATGAGCTCTTAACTGGTAGTAGACCTCCAACCCTGCAGATGCTACCAGACACTTCCAGCCTTAGATGATTTCACCTGAGGCTCCCTATGCACTCACCTCATTCATGAAGCTCTTGAAGTTTATTTTGCTTTGTTTAACACACTGAGAAAGGATCTGTCCTTTTTCCCATTCCTCTTTGTCCTCTTAAATCATTCCTACTCCTCCAACCTTTGCATCCGTTATCATCGCTTAAGAATACAGCCGTCATGCCTCATCATAGACTCTTAAAACATTATGAATACCTCCCTTTCCTTCCTTTTCCTTATGATAACCATATCATAACTTGATGTGGTTATGAATCTTCATTTAACTTTAGATTAATCTGACCACTCCCTCTAGACTCTCAATCTAAGCTCTCCTCTCCATGACTGTAAGGACATCTGCCAACAAGGACCGCGGCACTCTCTACTGTGACCCAGCATATGTGTAATAAACAGCTGAGGTCTGATGCAGAATATGTTTCTTTTCTAACATGCAATCTTTTGTATCTTCGAAAGACTGGCCACAGATACAACTCGTGAATGGGTCAAGCAGATGCTCTGGGCGAGTGGAAGTTTTCTACCGCGGCCAGTGGGGCAGAGTTTGTGATGACCACTGGGACATGAATGAAGCCGACGTGGTGTGCCGGCAGCTGCTCTGTGGGCCTGCCCTCGAAGCCCCCTCTGAGGCACTATTCGGCGAAGGCAAAGGCGAGTTTCTGCTGGATAATGTGGACTGTACTGGGACAGAGAGTTTTCTGGGACACTGTCCTCATCCCGGTTGGCAAGTGCATAACTGTGGTGCTGGAGAAGACGCTGGTGTCATCTGCGCAGGTAACAGCCACTCTTCCCTCCATCAGCATACAACTCCTTACCCAGGCTGCATCTCTGCAATGCCAGTGGCAAAACTTGCAATAGATGTAATCATCAACCATGCTCACCACCTGCGTGTGTCAAAAGTAAAGAGACATCTGTAAACTGAGAGCATTATCTGAACTCAGAAAATTACTATGACATGGAAATGAGTCTTATACAGGGTAAAATAGTAGAAGATAGCAATGTCGTGTTATGAGGACTAGATTTGAAAATATCTGCTGAAAAAAGACAACCTATATAAGAGTGAGGTGACTCACGGGGTGTGCTCTGTCATTTTTCTCAGGACAGTGTGTTCAACAAATAGATAAAGATTTTATCTGCTATAATTCTGCAATCTTGTAAAGGTGGTGAAAGGAAGAGTTTATAGACTAGAATACCTCTAGTTTATTCTATTTGTTGTGAGTTCAGTTCATATATTGCAAATCATAAATCACTAAAGAAATAGTAATCACCAACATTAGTCTGGAGCAGATGCTCCTGGTCTTGGCATTCTACACATCAGGGGCCAGGCAGGCACCGTCCTGTGTAGTGTAAGCTATATGCAGCTCCCTGACCTTTACCCACCCGAAGACAATAATACCTCACCCCAGTTGTGACTTTCAAAAATGTCTTCCATCATTGCCAAGTATCCCTTTGAGAAGCAACTGCCTCCAACTCAGAACCACTGTCGCACATGTGACATATTATCCATCCTAAGGACATAAATTTGTGTGCCAATTGGAGAAACTCATTTAGTGTACTTACAGCAGTGAACTTAGTCCCTAGCCAGAATGTTCAAGCGGAAAGACTATTATAGATCTCCATGGTGTGAATATACTGTGTTAGCTTCTAAAGTCAATTCAGACAGTTCCCTTATTGGAATTTGTATATGTGTTCTGTTTTGATTTTCATTTAGTTTTTGTCCATCTTTTCCTTGATTTTTAAAAAAAATTATGTGGGGTTAGGCTTTATAAGTCCATCTGAACAGTCTGCTCTATACAACCATGTGGGTCCACCTGTGTTGCGGGAGAAGTAAGTGCTTCATACTTGGACATATCCCAGAGGTCACTCTGCTCCCCATTAAGGTGCAGTGCCCAACGTGCACAACTGAAAGGAGAAGAGACTTACTTTGGTTCACGGTTTCAGATGTTTTAGGTCCATGCTGTTAGCAGACTCTGCACTATGGAAACTGCACTATGGAAGAAGCTGCCCATGTCATGACAGCTAGGAAGCAGAGAGCCCAGGGAAGAGCAAGGGCGGGAGCTAGCTCCTTACAGGTACCTCGCCTGAGTGACCTGCTCCTTCTGATGCTATCCCATCTCCTAACAGTGCATTCAGTTACTGAATAAATATATGGCTGAATACAGTGCGCCCACAATCCAATCATCTGCTGAGAGCCCTACCTAGAAGTACATGAGGATTTGGGGAAAATATTCTTGATTCACACTGTGACACCCAGATTCAAAGCACAACCACAATTAATCTAGCAAGTGTCACTAGATGCAATATGTTAGCAGCTTTTAAAATTGGTAATTCATTAAAGCCATCTGAGAGACCCAGTCCTAGCCCAGGCCTGGTGAGTGTGTGGGAGAGCTTCCAGCTACCCTGAGCTGGCGGGACCTACTGGTCCCAGCCCAGGCACAGCATGGGTGAGACCCTCTTCCATCCCCTTGGGATGCCCCCACCACTCTGCAGCACCTCCCCTACCCCGCCTGCCCAGTAGGAATTTCTGCCGCGTTCCGGGAACCCCTAGATCCAGTCATAGCCCAGGCCCGGTGAATGTGTGTGAGAGCTTCCAGATACCCTGTGCTGGCGTGACCTACTGGTCCCAGCCCAGGCGCATCATGGGTGACACCCTCTTTCACCCTCTTGGGATGCCCCCCCCATCACTCCATAGTACCCCCGCACACCCCGCCCACAGAGTAGGAATTTCTGTCTTGTTCCAGGAATCCCCAGATCCAGTCCTAGTCCAGGCCCGGTGTGTGGGAGAGCTGCCTCTCCCCCCTACTCCACCTTGTCCCCTCCAGACTCAGCTCAGGCCTGGCATACAGGCCTGGGGTGAA